ATTTGACCTTGCAGGACAATGTATTCAGAAGCTTTGTTGTGTGCTTTCTATAAAACAAATGCCCTACTGGAACAATTACATGAAAAGGTGAATTGGATGGCGACTTCGACTAGAAATTTTGAACAGGCAGTGGGAAATTTTGAACAGACAGTGGGAAAATATGTGGAGCCCACTCAGGAATTAAATCAGGAGTGTGTCCTGACAGAACAGGCCCAACAGGAATATGAGTTTTCGGATTTGACAAATGAACTTGGAAAAAGCCAGATTTGGAAAGAAAAAGTTTGGTTTGGCTTGGAAATGGGGGGCTGGATTGACCCCCCTATGCTGGGATGTTTGGACTTTTCAAATCTGGCAATGGGCCATGAGATGTTTGGGATTGTGGGGGCTCTTAATTTTGGAGGGTCTTTGAAACATGCTTTTAAATACCATATGGAATTCAGTGTTGAATATGGAAAAGGGGCTGACCTGTCGAGAAGGGTTAAAAATATTGCCAAGCTGGAGTTACCACGAGCAGGAGATAAGGGAAAATACAGTTACAAATATGAAGAAGAGCTGCGGAAGGGACATGGAAGAGACTTGAGGGCCTCGGATATAAGGCTGCCAGGTTAATGGGCTAGATCGACGGGATAATAAGGACTGACAAAACCCGGAACCAGGAGGAAGGGACGTTGGATGAAGATTGGATTTGTTTGTATTTCTTTTTTCTACCATTAGAACTGTTTTATAAAATTGATGAATGTTAGAAAAATGTTGGAATGAAATTACTTGGCTTTAGTAAAGATGTTTAAAGAATTATGAAAGAATATTATGGTTATGAGAAGTTGGTAAGGATAAGATTTAAGTTTCAAGCTTTAAGGTTTATTTTATTATAGAAAGATAAGATTAAAACAGTTTAGGGTAATGTAATGACAGAATATTATGAAATATGGAAAGGATTTGCTGGGATAATTAATAACTAGGATACAAAGAAAGGGAGGAGGAGGAGGTCAAAGAAAGAAGGTAACGACAGTTGAGGATTTGAGAATAATGAATTTGTTTTTAAATGTTTTTTGTGTGTGATGTATTTCTGTATTTTCTTCTTTCTTTTTTTGTCACTTTTTCTTATCTTTGAATTTGTATTCATACGGTTGGAAGGGGTTTGTTTGTTTTTTCTTTTTCTACTTTGTTAATTATTTTTATTTTGTATTTTCTACTGCTTTTATTTTATTTGGTAACACTTTGAAAATTTCAATAAATATCTTATAAAAAAAAGAAAGAAAAAGCAGCAAATATTCTGATTGATTGTGAAAATTAATTGGCATGCCTTGAAATAGAACAGAATAATCTTTTAATAAATGTACCTGATGATTAAAATGAACTCAGCCTTCTTTGGCTGTGACTGAGGATAGATGAAGAAGAGTTTGGATTTGATATCCCGCTTTATCACTACCCGAAGGAGTCTCAAAGCAGCTAACATTCTCCTTTCCCTTCCTCCCCCACAACAAATACTGTGAAGTGAGTGGGGCTGAAAGACTTCAAAGAAGTGTGACTAGCCCAAGGCCACCCAGCAGCTGCATGTGGAGGAGCGGAGACGCGAACCTGGTTCACCAGACTACAAGTCTACCGCTCTTAACCACTACACCACACTGGCTCTCCAAATAGGAAAATAAAACAACCATATAAAATCAAGGAATTGGAAGTAAAACTGGGTTTTCTATCAAATTATCCAGAAACAGCTTCATACTAGAATAAGAACACAATCCTAATTTTGTCTAGTCAGAAGAATGTCTGGTTGAAATCAATAGGGCTTATTCCCAGGTAAGTGGGACTAGGTTTGCAGTCTTATTGACTTGACAACGTTTTTGTTATATTCCTGCTGCCACAGTGACCAAAACAGAGAGAAGAGAGGCCTTTGGTGGTGGTGGACCCCTGGCTATTTATGATCCTCTCACCTTTCTCTCATGGTTTTGTGACAGTCATCCTTTATTCATCATCATTATCCCCCCACTTCCCACAGACACATTTAAATGGCTGGAGAATATTTATCAGCCAAAAACCTGGTTGAAGAGGAACATTTTTGACTGGCATCTAAAAATGTACAATGAAGGTGCCAGGTGAACATTCCTGGGACGAGCATTTCACAAACAGGGAGTCACTACAGAAAAGGCCTGTTCTTGTGTTCCAGGCTTCATGTGGAGGAGGCATGTGAAGAAGGGCGTCAGATGATAAATGCAGAGTCCAGGATGGTTTATATGGGGAGAGGCGGTTCTTGACGTATTGCGGTCCTGAGCCGTTAAAGGCTTTATAGTCAAAAGCAGCACATTAAATTGGACCCAGAAGCTATTTGGCAGCCATTGCAGTCGAGCCAGGTGTCAGGCTTGAGGGAATTGGCTTCCTCCCCCATGGTGGTAAATAAGAGCAAACGAAAGGAACGTCTTACCAGTTAGATTTTTTAATAATCACAGTAAGAGAGAAAAAGAACACAACTCCCTAGAAATGGTGGTGCTCCCAATTAAGGCTCACTCCCCCACCCTCCATCCCTATTAATTTACGTTACTCCTATGTCTTGTAATCTGATTTTGTACCCTCTGCACTTTCTATTTTAACACTTTCTGGGCTCTCCGTGTCTTTGGGGAAGGGAGGGCTGAATGCTGTCCAGAGACTAAATCTGTTAACCATCTATCTTCCACTGCTTCTTCTGCTGGCAGTCCCCCACCCAGGATTTCCCAGCTTCTGCCTTCTGAACTATTCCCCTCTGCAAACCACTGTTCCAAATCTGTACTATCCACCTGCTCCTGCAAAGATTCAGGATCAGGGAGAGGGGGTGTCTCCCACCATTCTTCCTCAGTGCAGCCCTCCTCAGCACGGTCCCTGACACCAGGATTGGTGTAATATGCCCCAACTGTCTTGTCCTGGTGAGCAACCTGGCCTCTGAATTCTGCACCAGCTGAAGCTTCTGAATTGTCTTCAAAGACAGCCATACATATAATGTGTTGCAGTAATCCAACCTAGAGGATACCAGAGTATGGACAACAGAAGTCAGGCTACCCCTGTTCAGATAGGGACATAGCTGGGCCACCAGCCGAAGCTGATGGAAGATGCTCCATGCCACCAAGGACACCTGAGCCTCAAGTGATAGCAGAGCATTTATGAGTACCCCCAAACTACATACCTGCTCCTTCAGAGGGCATGTACAACTTGCTTAGAATTGGCTAAGCTTAAAAAAAAAAAAGAATTGGCTAAGCTTTTCTTCTTTTTTAGTGTTCTATCTGAAATAATTGCTATAAGTAGTAGTATATTTATCATTTGAGTTCATTGAAATGATGAATAAATGCAAAACACTTGATCCTTGAAAGAGCAGCAAGTTAAAGCAATACTATAGACCAGGGATAGGAAATTTCATATCTGGTGACTCAAGCACACACAACCTAATGATGACAAACAGCTGGTAGTTTATTTCTTTATTGACAAAGCATAGCTCCTGAGGTGCACTAAACACACACACACACATTCCTGGTGGGTAGGCAGCTGGCACCCCTCCCCAGGCTTGTGCTCTGAGCTGGACTGCTGGAGCAATGTGTGGCCACGCACAAAAGCAAACCTTAGTACACGTATCTAACAGTGCAAGTGCAAGCACCCTGTGACTTCTTCTACATAGAAGCTGTCGCTGTGCTTGCCTGTTCAAATCCTTCCTGTTCCTGGAAGACAGAAGGACTGCCCTGCCTGGAGCTCCTCTCCATTAGCATTGCTTCATCTGATGCTGGGAGAGGAGCGCTGGACCGGGCCACACTAGACGTGCCTGTCAGGGGCAACTGCTTCATGCCCCTTCAAAAATCTGCACCCAGGGTCTATCAGGACATTCCTCGGGGTGTAGGCCCATACAACACTTCGACCCACATCCGTAGATGTGAGCACGCGTTAGCAGAAGGTAAACGGCATTTCCATGCACTCCTCTGGTTTCGCCAGAAGCAGCTTAGTCATGCTGGCCACATGACCCGAAAAAACTCTGCAGACAAACGTCGGCTCTCTTGGCCAGTAAAGCGAGACGAGCGCCGCAACCCCAGAGCCACAACCCCAGAGTCGTCCATGACTGGACTCAATTGTCAGGGGTTCTTTAGCTTTTACCTTTACTTGTCCCTAGCTACTTATGTTCTCCTTTAATGTTTAAATATTTAGAGAAATAACTGAGCCCTCCAAGACCTTGTGCATTTTTCTCTGCACCAAAATAGGGACTTTTGTCTTGGAGGAAAGAGGGCTGACTGGAAGGGTCAGGGGAGAAATAGCAGAGGCGGGGCAAATCCTATTTTGTGTCAGGGACAGATTGAAGTGGGTTGCAATTGACTCATAGTGGAACCAGACTATTTCAATACACTTGAGAGGAATGCATAAATACTGAAGGATGGGAAAAGGTAAACATAGTATAAATAAATATATAATGAAGACATCACAATAATTTCACTGTATTCCACATTGTTTCAGGAGAATGGGTCCACACAAGTGTCTGTCTAATATACATATACATATATAATAATAATAATAATAATAATAATAATAAATGTCCAGTAGCTTATCTGAAGAAGTGTGCATGCACACAAAAGCTCATACCAAGAATAAACTTATTTGGTCTCTAAGGTGCTACGGGACATTATATATATACATATACATATACATATACATATACATATACATATACATATATATTTCTACTGCATCGGACCAACACAGCTACCTATCTGAATCTAGATACATATACATTACATAGAAACATCAAAATCATTGGAATGGAGGAGAATACGGGTAAATTTGACAACTATTGATTTGATATTTGTCTTAAGAAATGTGCTATGATAAAAAATTGTATAGTACATTGAAAAGCTTGCAGCTGTAAAATAATACAAATGAATCTATCAGTATCATATGAATTTAATCTTATTTCTGACTCTGTTAAGACACAACTTGTAACGCTATGTTGTGTAGAATATTCACATCTTCCCCATTATGTTTAGCCAAGCTTTCTTCACATCCTTGTTGCGCAATGTATATATAATGGGATTCAGCAAGGGAGTCAATATGCTATACATAAGTGGGATCAGCTTTGTATTCACCGATGACTCTGTGGGAACAGGTCTCAAATAGGTGAAGATGGCACTACCATAGTACAGAAGAACCACTGTTAGATGAGAAGAGCATGTGGAGAAAGCCTTTTGCCTCCCTTCTGTTGATCGTATTTTCAAAACATTTGAAATTATGTACACATATGAGAGAAGGATACAGAACATTGGTGTCCAGGCTATGAACAACCCAATGGTTAACAAGAGCTTTTGGTTGAGGGAAATGTCCCCACATGACAATTTCAGCAATGGTGGAATGTCACAATAGAAAGCATCTAGGCGGTTGTCTCCACAGAAGGGTAACTGAAAGGCAAAATAGGTGTGTACGGCAGAGTTGAGAAAACCACCCACCCAGGAGGCAGTAGCCAGCTGAAGGCAAACATTCCTTTTGATAATCAATGAATAGCGCAGTGGGTTGCAGATTGCTACATAGCGGTCAAAAGCCATTACTGCTAAAAGAAGGCATTCAATGCCGACAAAGGAAAAGAAGAAAAACAGCTGGAGCACACAGCCTGTGTAGGAGATGGTGCTACTTTCTGTCAGAAGGAGATGCAACATTTGGGGGATGGTGGTAGTGATGTAGCAGATGTCAAGACAGGAGAGGTTTCCAAGGAAGAAATACATGGGAGTTCTGAGCCTCTGGTCCACTATGGCCATGGTGATGATGAAGGTATTCCACAGAACAGTGAATAAATAGATGATCAAGAATCCACTGAACAGCAAGAAGTGTATCTCCTGCAGATTTTTAAAGCCAAGGATGATGAATTCTGAAAGCTCTGATTGGTTTTTTGCCTCCATATCTGATTCCAAGAGACTGGCATTCGGAGGCATACTGCTTCAAACAGTGGAAGGAGAACATAGCTGTTGAGGCTAGGAGAAACTGATAGTCTTTGTCTAAAACCCTTTTAAAATCATTCAAGGGTCCCTTCCCACTCTATAATGATAAGATTCTACATTTAAGTAGCTGACAATCACTGTCTCTTGTGACAATGGATTCCGTGGTTTGCCTTTGAAGGAGTACTAGCATATATCTGTTCTACACCTTGTAGCTTTCAGCTTCATTGCATGTCTCCACACAGTTCTTCTATTAGGTGACAGAGAGAGACAAACTTCTCCCTATCCACTTTCTCACTTCCTCTTTTTTTCCAGGCTTGAGTTCAGTTCACCACAACTTTGCATCTGCTTGCATTAAGGGGGAAAAAAAATCCACATGAAAATTCGGAATTGTTTACCTGCATATTTCTCCTATATGCATTTCTGAAGCAACATTCCCTAATACAATGTGTTTGCAAATGCTGTTTTCATTAATATACACATTTCTATGCACATTTTCTCCAATATTGTTGTTGGTTCCGAATGAGTTCTCATTCACTTACATGCAGATGAAAATTCATAGTATGTTAGAGGTCAGTAGAGTCATTCTATATTTGACTATATCACAACTGGTGCCATACCTTTATTCATTTTGATTGCATTTCTTCAATACAAACTAATGATGTGTCCCACTAAATTTTGTTCTCCCATCCATAACACATTCATTTCCTTACCTGTGAGATGAGCCTTCTCCCTGTTGGTAGCATTCCATGTGGGTTGCTCGTGGATTTCACAGTTTCCTTTCATATATAGGCAATAATGCCCCTGGGGAGTTCTACCCCAAGTGCATTTCCACCAAGGCAAGACTTCCAGAAGTTTTTCAAAGACCTTTAGCTAATCAATTGCATCTTAACTAAATCATACAGAAACGTCATGTATATTTCAAATAAAACATTCTTGAATTGTATAGCCACAATTGTACCTAATGTTGCATTACTTTGTAAGGAATACTTGATGTTTGTGTTCATTGTATGTTCCTCTATAAGATTATACACACACATAAACATGCATTTACAAAGAAAAAATAAGCAGGGCATTTCCTTGAGAGAACTCTCTGTATTAGCAAGTGTAGCTGTCTTTTAATAAATCAAGAACAATGCTGACCTCAATCAAAATATGGGAATACCTTGAAGGACAAACCTCTTGGGCAATTGACAAAGGATTGGGAGGCTCCACAAATGTAACACTCATGTCTAGGGAGACAGGGATTCCTTGAGGTGGTCCTTCCACTCCAAGTTTGACCCTGCTCAAGTCTCAGCCCCTTGCCCCAAACATGGGACTGAGAATGAATATACGCCCAATGCTTCAGCCAAAGCCTACCTACATCTGGAATGAACAAAGTTGTGGCCAATTTTTAAATCCCATAATGTTGTCCTGTGCAGTTTTTTTACCCATCTTACACTAGGCCTTTTTCCCCTTGCAGGTAGAGTTCACTGCAATAGGGTGCCAGAAGGATGAATTTGGATAGAGCAGTTTCATTACTGCTTTCATTTTATTAGCTTCACAAAATGTTTTTTTATCTATGGACAGAGAGGGAAAATATATTTGTTGAGGTGTTTGTGTTTTGGAGAAACTTACATGAAGGAAGAAGTATTTTAGTTTTACTCTTGCATTGTAGTTTCGACTTATTTCTTTTTTAAAAAACTATATATTAATGTTGCAACCTGTCAGGAGTCTGGGTGGATGGCCTACAGGGTCCTTCCTAATTCTTAATTACAAATTATTAGTATTACTAAACAGATTCCACTTACTCTTTCATTTATCTGTACATCTATAATAATGTAAGCTTTGGGGTGAGGGGAGTTGGACTGCATGGCCTCTGGGGTGCTTTTCAACACCTGATCCCATGAGCACACAGATTCTGGCAGCCAAGCTCACGACTCCTGCATCAGATCTCCAGGGAGACAGCAAGCACCCTGAGATCTTGTTAGTCTTCAGATGTGAAAGCTCCAAGATGCTCTGACTCAAACTGCTGTTACCCCACCAATCATTCTTTTCACCTGAATTAATTTCATAAACCTTAGAGTGGCATGGGGTTAATAGCTATGCATCTCTGGAGGTCCTGTGCCATGAAGGTTAAGGTTAGTTCCTATAGCAGGTTAACACCTTCTTTTAAAAAGTGATATTTGCCTGACCATTTCAAAGATAAACAGTTCATTTCTTGTCCAAACTCTAAGTAGTAATGGGTGAATCTGTCAGTGTTGGTTTCTCTCAGTTTCTCCCATACCCCCTATTTCAATTCAATTATTCAGATTTCCACATTATATTAAAGTCTTCTTCTTTTAATCCTCATGAATATTCCTCAGTATTTTATTGTAAATGTTCCCAAATATACACTTTTTTATGAATTTTAGGCATGAACACCACAACCCAGTAAATGCATGCATTATTTGGCAGAGAAGCTATGTTACAAAATTTTTAGAAGTATGCATTATCGAGGTTAACTGTGTTTCAGTTCTCACATTTCCCCCCATAGTAGCACAAAAAAAACCAAATGCTCGTGTGAAAACACGAGGTATTTGATGTCAGTTTGGGTCTCCATGCTACCCAGCTTCATCTCTTCCTCATACTCTGGTTGATCTCAGCCTGTAGTAACACAAGTTGCAACAAATTGCTGTGAATCTTGTTTCCTGAAGCAAAACACCAACTACTTTACTTTTTAAAGAAATGTGCAGGCCTCCCATCCAGATCAAGACTAGGGGTCTGATGTGCAGGCTTTATGCTTTTCACAAGTGGACCACAGACAAACTAGTTTCTGAAAGATATCAAGTGATGCTAAAAATGGAATTTAAAAATTGCAGTTAACATCTTATATAGTTGAAGCATAACACAAGGGCAGGAAACTATGGTCCTCAGATGTAATGTGGACTCCAACTCCCTCCAGCCCCAGGCAACATGGCTAATGGTTAGGTGCAATGGGATCTATACTCAAGCAGCATCTGAAAGACCAGAGGTTTCTCAAAAAGAACATATTTTTAATGAAATCAGTGTCTATTTATGTAACCACTTAATAACTGCTTTTTTAAAAGACAATATCAATACCATACCAATAATGTAAGCTCATGATTGTATCTGACAAATTAAAACTCCGAGTACAGGCAGCTCCCTGTTTCCATATGCACAATATTAACAACCTAAATAGTCACTTTGGTGCTACTAATGCTCCACTTCACTGTGGAGGTACACTCTATTGTTTCTTGAAACAGATGCCAACAAGTGTCATGATGGAAATGCATTATTTTATTGGTTATGATAACAGAAAAGAAAAAGACAATATGTAAGAATAATTACATTACAGATTAAGCAGAGCAAAACAAAAGCAACCAACATAGTGTGGGTGTGAATGTGTGTGGGTGTGTGTAGCAGATGGGGCTCATCAACCTGGGAAGGTAGTCCTTTCAAACCTGGAATTTTTATTCTTTGCCTACATTTTTATTCGTACTTGACTACCCTAACTGATTTCAATAGGCTTTCCCCAAGCATGACCAAATTTGGATCCAGCTCTCTAATTTTAAATTGATGTTCAAGTGGTATATTTGGAAACAGTTGTATTTCATTAAAAATGACACATACTGGAGGTATAGAAATAGAATTGTTGATGGCTTATATTTCATGTATTTTCACCAAAGATTTAATCCTTTCAGGAAAAATAAAAGGTTAATACAGATAGCATCTTCCAACTAAGCAGATTTTCCATTACAATATTTTGGAATGATATGAAATAGTGCTGGGGTGTGTGTGTGTTCAATAAATTGGAGGAAAGATTCTGGCATACTACTAAACTAAATATTTGGAACACCCCACAGGCTTTGAAACAAAAACTGAAATCTTAAGCCCTAGCTATAGTGTTCCAAGCCCCCACATTCAATTTCCCAGCACTACTACAAGATAAATCCAAGGATTTATTGACATCAGTCTATTTCAGGACAACATTTTCTTCATCATTCTCTTCTGTAATGCCCCCTTCACATCTTTGTTCCTGAGGGTGTAAATCAGTGGGTTCAACAAAGGGGAGAGAATGTTATTAAAGAGGGCAATCATTCTATCCTTCTTCAATGAGTAGCTGGAGAAGGGCCTGACATATGTAAAAAGACAGCTGCCATAAAAAAGCAAGACAACAGTGAGATGAGAAGCACAAGTTGAAAAGGCTTTCCTCATCCCATCTGAAGAATGCATTTTCAGAACCCTCAAGATGATGTGACTATAGGAAAGGAGGACACACATGCCTGGTCCAAAGCCCATTATGGGACTAGTAGCCAGCATGGCAATAATACTGCTTGAGATGTCCCCACAGGAGATAGCTACAAGAGGAGGGATGTCACAGTAGAAGTAGTTGATCTTATTCATACCACAAAGGGGCAGGCGGAATGTGATAAGGGTGTGAATGGTGGTGTTGAGTGAACTTGTGAACCAAGAAGCTGACACTAGTTGGGCACAGAGTTTGTAATTCATGACCACATTATAGCGGAGAGGATTGCAGATGGCAACGTAACGATCATAAGCCATGGCAGCCAACAGAAGGGTCTCAGTACCAATGAATAAGATGAAGAAAAAGAGTTGAACCTTGCATCTTTCATATGAGATGGCGTTTCTTCCTGAAATCAGGTGCACAATTATCTGTGGAATAGTGGTTGTAGTCTGGCAGATGTCCAGGAGGGATAGGTTACAGAGGAAGAAGTACATGGGAGTTTGAAGGCTTGGTTCTATGGAGACAAGAGTGATGATGAGAATATTCCCCATCAGTGTGAAGAGATATGT